CAATGCAAACTGAAAATTTCCCAGTGCAAACTTCCATTTGCTAATTAGCCTAATTTGCATGAGAAGGTTTTTCAGGAAATGTTACAAATGTTATTATTCTTTCCTGAAAAACCCACATCATTGCATGTATATAAGATTTCAGTTGCTGAAATCCTATCCACATTTGCATGGGAATAAGCCTTGTTGAACTCAGTGGGACTGATGACTAGGCATGGACTGCATTGTGAGTGACTGATGCTAGCAATCCTTTAATCTTATATACTATTTATGTTAGCAATTTTTGTCCCATGGCATTGTGATAAATATATCAACCAGGATCCACAAAATCAAAAAACAATGAGCTCCAGGGAGCATCAGATTTGTTTTCTTCAGTTGTTCAATGCACATGGCCAAGAACAGAACAAACCCATTGGAATGAATGGTCTTATTAGTCATGAGCATTAATTTCAGTGGAAATGCATTAGATGCAACCCATCATTAAGAATTTTATTTAAGAATCTTTATGCATTCAGCATTGACTCTAGGGAGGTTTACATGTTAAAACAATAAAAATTAGTAAACTGTACCATTAAGGAAGGAGGCTGCAGAGTTCCCAAATTTGTTTAAGATACCTGCAGGGTCTGGGAGAATTTAGAACAAAAACAAAACATTTACTGGGAACTTTCACTGAAGGGCAGATAACAACTACTACTACTACTACAAGAGAGAGCAATGTAGGCACTAGGTAAGCTTTTGTGGGGATAGGAGGCCAACATTGTGCCACAGGTGAAAAAGTCCTCTACTGGGTCACCAACCATCTCACCTCTGATCAAGGAGAACATCAATAGATGACAGCAGTGTCCTAGCAGGTTCTTTGTGATAGGATGTAAGAGAGAGTTGTTCAAAGTAGTGGGAGCAGGAACTAAAAATTTCCAGTGCACAATTACAGTCGTGTGTTCAAGAATAATAATAAAAAAGGTGTGGGTGGAATCAAATCTAATCTAAACATTTTGAACACAAAGCGAAGTTCTGCTATACATTTTTGTGGCAGAATAATGATTATCACATTTTCATATAGGAACTTCTTTACACAGAGATATACCAAAAAATGATGCACTTACAGTTAACTCTATTTTTGTAGAGTTAACCAGAGGTATTTTTTTAAGGCAGTGAAAAATAAATGCAGGCTGAAAAGAGACAATTATTTTACCGTCTGTTTCTTAGATATCAGAAAGGGAATTTCAAAATTCATCAAAGCTAACCTTCTGTTATGTACAACAGGCTAAGCTGAAAAGAATGTTAACAAGTTCAATTTTCATTCAATCAGCACCACTGCTCTCTGAAATGTTTCATTGCAGGAAAGAAATAAAAAATAATCTATATGGTAATTATTAGGATGAATCCCCCAGTAACTTTCAGCAACATGAAAGGTCAGTTCTATTCAAGATATTTTATCAGTCCCTTGCACATACTCCTGTCCTGTCATTTTAAATCTGAACAGCATTTTATTTTCCCATTTACAGCTACCTGCAGAATTAAGTACTTAAGCCAAATAAGGAAGAAAAAAAGAAGGAGAAAATGTTGAATGCTGGCAAAGGCTATAATAGCATGGAGATAAATCGTTCAGCTGCTCTCTCTCAAGCCTCTAGGGCTACAGATTTTTCTTCTCCTGATGCACTGTGGGTATTCAAAACTTGTTCAACATGATTTCATTTCATTTCAGGCAGTGCCTGAGAAAACTAAATTACAGAATCAATCATACAGAAGGTCAGAGTGAGACTTCATTACAAGTATTGCATGCTTGCATGAATATCTTTCATTTATGACTGACCCAATATGTCACAATAGCTGTCTAGTAAAAATAATCCACTTTCTGAAATTGATGTACTACTGATGTCAGTGCTACTCAGCAGGCTGGGTAGATTATAGAGAGATGTTTAAAGGGGAGAGGGGGGGAGAGAAAAGAATAAAAAGGAACCCTATAGAGCACAGGCAACAGCGCTATGGAATTGCCACCCTTTGTAGATTAAAATAATTTCTCAGGTGATCATCTAAACAGTCAACTGTGCTTTAGTCTGTAATGACTTTTGATAGCATATAGCAATTGATTTCCATCTATTTATGTGTAGGTCTATATATTTTCCCACATCTTGTTAAGTCCCAGGTGTTTTTCTGAACTCAAGCTAGAACTCGTTCATTCCCTGCCAGTAATTCATTTATGAAGGTTGGGGTTTTTTTTATATTAGCATATTATTAAAATGCAAATGCTAATCACAGTGCATTTCTTTTATCTTTCGTTTTCTGTTGTGCTTCCTCATTTTGGGGCGGGGGAGAGTGGGGGAAATCCCAACGTAATAGCATACATTTAAACTAAGATAAATGTCCCTTTGTATCCTGTCAATAATAATGAAGCTAATCAGCAACATGACGAATTGTCACTTTTTCTATAAACAAAAGCAATAACAGGCTGGGTAAGAAATGCAGGACAATACATCAGAAGGTCTTTTTTTTTTTACTGGTAGGAAGAATTGTTAATCCATCAATACATTCATTTTTAATAACCACTGGGCTACATATACTTTGGTAATAAAACAGCTTGCTTGCACTTAAAATGGATTGCTGGATATAGCAATCCTAAGTCAGAAATGGAATGGAAAGTATTATTTATTATTCCAGCAGTCTTCCTGCAGCAAATCTAAGAGAAGCCTGTGAAAGTACTGTTATGTAGCTGGCCAACTCCGCACCCTGAGGGAAACATCGGAGAACCTTGACATAACCTATTTCTACCCGTGCCTCTGGCGATTTTGCATTCAAGTTTATAGGTGAACATGTCAGGTACTGCTCAGAACAAAGCCAGAGACACACTGTATTAATCATAGCTCTGCCCAAGTACATTTCATTTCTTCTGTTTGTGCTTGAAAATTTCATGACATTTTCTTCAAGGTGAAATTCTACTGGACATTTCAACAGGGTCAATCTATAAATCCAATTAAAATAGCTATCATTTGCAGTGAAGCTGTCTAACACAGTAATGTTTCCAAAAGTGGCTGGGATTTCATTTGGTATCTTAAAAAAAGAAAAAAAAGGGCTATGTTATTCTAATGGTTTCGGTTTGGAAAAAGTATTACTTGCTTCTATAGACATCTAGGTCTTGTCTATCATTACCGATTAGCAACTTCTCAACAATGCAGTAAGATTTGACAAGCTGAATGCTGCTTCATGCAGGCATTGTTCAAGAGTGTAGATGAATATCATAATTATTTTATGGCTCCATATTTAGTTCTTTTAGATACAGTAAGCCCAATTGACCATGAAATGAAATTTCATAGTTAAAATGCCTCTTTTACGTTTTTTTTATTGCGGTAATAAAAAAAAAGTTATGGCTCTAAAGAAAGGTAATTCACGAAATATACAATCTAAAGATGGATTCTATTATTAATAAATATTTATCAGTTTAATAAAGTGCACATTTTCAATAAATGATGAGAGACATTTACCGCCACATCTATGGAATTTAGATTAGATGTTCAGATTGAAAGAGGGAACAGAATGAAATGGGGGAGAATTTAGAAGAGCTTTTCAAGTCACCACCCACCCACCACAACACCTCAAGCTTTTGCTGCCTCGAAATATCCAGGACTACATTCAATGCTAGTCCTACTCAGAGTAGACCCATTGAAATTAATGGTCATAAGTAACAAGCCCATTAATTAGTAAGTAAAACTAACACAGCCCTTAAGCTTCACCTATCACATTTATTTATTTATTTATTTATTTATTTATTTATTTATTTATTTATTATTTCTACTTGCTTACAGCTGATACCGGGGAAACAGTAAGTATTTAGCACTGAGTGTTTACACTACAAAGCCTTCTGCTCCATAGAAAAAGCTATGAGGATAAGAAATTAACTATCAGGGTGTACCTTACAGTAATGCTATTACACCTATTAAACTGTGAAGCAGGTGTAATCTCTGCAAATGAAGATTACATCATACAACCAAATATACACATTACTGTGCCTTGCAAATGGGTTGAACGCAAATTCAGCTGCATTGCTAAAACACTGTCCTGGTTTGCACATTACACTAAGTACAGTGGTGCCTCAGGTTACAGACGCTTCAGGTTACAGACTCCGCTAACCCAGAAATAGTACCTTGGGTTAAGAACTTTGCTTCTGGATGAGAAAAGAAATCGTGCTCCAGCGGCGTGGTGGCAGCGGGAGGCCCCATTAGCTAAAGTGGTGTTTCAGGTTATGAACAGTTTCAGGTTAAGTACGGACCTCCGGAACGAATTAAGTTCTTAACCTGAGGTACCACTGTAAAGCTAAACAGTGGCTTACTATGAATGTGCAGGTTCCCAGAGAGGAGACTGTGGCTATCAATCCCCTCCCCAATTCCTCCTGCTGCTGCGCTACTCAGGACTAAACGATTATTTGGCTTCATGTGTCATCTGAATTTGGGCTCGCTGTTTTCCTTGCTCCAGATTCATGCTCTGCCACCAGCTCATGACCCTGAATCTGCAGTCTGAAACTTTCTCCTTTCTCTCTACCGCAGGAAGCCTTCCGAGCAATGAAATGAGTCAGGGATGGGGAACTTGTGACCCTCCAGATGTTGTTGAACTTCCACCCCCATTATCCCTGACCATTGGCCCTGCTGGCTGGGGCAGGTGAGGGCTGGAGTCCAACAAGATCTGAAGGGCCAAAGGATCTCACCATCCCTGAAGTAAGCGAATGCACATTATGGCGCCCACTGAATATTTATGAAAATATCCTGCCACAAGACACTAGTGATATCGACTGTGCGTCACTACAACAAAAGACAACAAATGAGGATGCTGTATTGAGTGCAAGGAGTACCATCTTTTAGCAGCTGGATGTTATTTTCATGTGCTTGCCAGATAAGTTATTGGAGGGGGTGGCAGGGGAGCATAAATGTTTGGCTCAGTACACAACACCGCAATTCTATGCAGCAGTAAGAGAAGTTATGCAGTCAAATGGAAAGGAAAGGAAAAATCCGTACCATATGTAACCCATTGCTTTGGATGATACCATCTTGTTCCACAAGATTTCGAGATATTGTAATGGAAGGAAGATCCAAGCTCTGCGGTGGAAACTGTGGCGTGAACTCATTCCCTTGTGCAGCCAACTGATCACTTAGACCTTGAAATGGCAACAGTATATCTGCCATCCCTAAGTTGGTGGGATCCAGTTCAGGTGGTGGAGTAATTGGTGGGATCTCAAACTCTTCATCTCCAAGACTTGGAGTGTGGAATGTTTGCTAAATGAAGAAAAAGAAGAAAGAACAGCAACTTCACTGCAACGAAACACTGCTAAATAAATGACTGCAGCGTGTGTAATAAAAGGGAGTTGTTTACACCCTGTAAGATTTAACTCACGAGCAAACCATTTTATTTTACTTTATTTTGTAAATCACAAGTGTAGCAATATTCACATATGCCCAGCTTTTATGGATCCTTCAGATTAAAGATTTAAGTCTCATTATCATATGGCTTTAATGGTGTATCAGTATTAACTGTTTTTTAATGCACCCTTAATTAGCAACATCTGTCTTTGTTGTTGGTGTGAGCATCAGCTACACTGGGTTGTGGTTTTGGGTTGCTTGTTTTTTTGGCTGTATAACAAATTGCCAGTTTATTGATATGTTAGTAAAACAGCACAAACAGCCTAACCATTATTCTGATGCGTCAAATAAAATGCTGGCAACTTTGGTAGTACACACACAACATTAATCTGGTAGTGAATACTTCAAAATTCTTTTACAACCCATAAATGTGAAATATTAGAATCCTGCTTTTAAGCTCCCTCCATAAGAGGAATAGGAGTATGATAGAGCCTTTGATATGAAGGTGGTTGTGAGAGACATGGACTTTTGGGGGGAAATGGCTTATAAATGGAGGAATTTTGGTTTGATTCAGAGCAAGGATTTTTTGGGGGGGTAGGTTTCTTCTCAAAAACTTTATGAAACTTTTGTTTCTAATTCTCTTCAAGGTATCTACACATACTTTTAACCCCTTTAGAAAAATTCAAGGTCATTTGATGCTGAAATGCTGCTTATATCTGGCACAGAAATGAACACTTTTTGCTATCGTTCCCTGCGAAACAATGAATAAATTATTCTGGGATACAGCTATTTCTGGATTAAAAGTGGGGACATGTCTACATTCAAAAGTGTGTCTGTTCATGGGTGCTTATAACACCTCCACCCCTTTAATGGAGAAGGGTAGCAGGATCATGCCCACTAGGCATGCCTCCCTCTACACCAATACACAGCTATGCCCCTGGTGGCATGTACCTGTGTAGGGCTCTTCCACTTTAATGAGACCCCTGGCCAATTAGGCTGTCTGTGTGCAGTTGTAGTAGTCCTATGCATGTGTGCAGACCCATTCACCCTAAGGCCAAATGTGCAGTCAGATGGTGTGTGTAAGCATGGAGTGCCATGCTAGTGGGTGCCATTTTGTTGCTCCATCACACATTCATTGAGCACATGTGGATCTTCTGAACATCCCTTGTATTTCCATCATATTCCTGACTTTCTCCCTAATGCATCCTCCTTGCAACTGTTATCTCCACCTTCCAGCTTCTTATATCCCCTTTGCCCAGTTAGTTGGGGTTCGTGAACAGACCTGCACTCTCTGAGAAATTGTAATGATTCTGGATGTGTGCTTGTTTCGGAGGCTGAAGATTAAATTCACTTGTGTGTCTGTCTGAAATTCTAAGAGTTTGCGTGTGTGTGTGTGTGTGTGTGTGTGTGTGTGGAAGGGGGTACTTTTAAATACATTTTGACTTAAGGTTTCTCATTTTACTCAAAATAAAATGTAAAAAATCCTTGGCACCATGTCAGACACTGGCTTGGGTGCTCCTGGGACCATCAACCACCTTGTATTTATATGTAACTTGAACCCGGATAACCTTGGAATTTCACTGCCACCATCTCAATGTTTGTGGGAGACAATCTGCAGTGAGCTGATGTATGCTGGGAAGCTCTTACTTCCTCACTTGGGGTGAAGTCACTGCAGAGAGAACCAGGGAACCAGGTGCATGTGCCTCTATTGCTCTAAGAGCCACTCTGTGATAGAAATATCCAAAATGGTGGCTTAGTTTTTTAAGAGGTGGCGAAACTGTGCACCTCCAAATGTTGCTGGACTAGAACTCCCAGCACCTCTAGCCATTGGCCATGTTGTCTGGGTCTGATGGGAAATGGAGTCCAACAACAACCCACGGTTTCCCCACTCTTGTTTTATCCCCTTTGGTGGCACAATAGCCTGGTCACATTTTCATAAGCAATTACCAGCTGCTTGGGATCAACAGCAGGAGAAAGTTATCGCCTTCATGCTTGTACATTTGCCAAAAATATCTGGTTGGCCACTGGGGGATGCAGAACACTAGAGTATATGGCTCTCATCTATAAGGGTTCTTCTCATGATATTCTTAAGACATAATTAACCTATAGAACAATAACCTCAATCTAAAGACCACTTGATCATCTCCACATGTTCTGTGAGTTTTCAGAACATGCCATGGCTACTGAAGCAGTCTGCAGGGTGCAGCTGCTGTATGGCAACAGAGAGGGAAGAGGAATTCCTACTATTCCAGTGCTGGGAGGCAGCAGCTGAGGAGGAGGATGCCACAGCTGAGTGGATAGTTGCCTCTACTGGCATCAGCAGCCTGTGATCACACCAATACAACTGTCAAGTGGAACCATGTGATTCCACAGAGTGGCCTGTGGCACTGCCCACTTCACTACTGCGGAAAGGTAAAGCTGGGAATTCCGTCGCCACAGCCATAGTGGCCACTTGTGGCTTAGGGGAAGAGTAATAGCTTTGCAAATAGAAGGTCCCAGGTTCAATCCCGGGCATCTTCTGGTAGGGCTTGGAAAGACCCCTCCCTGTCTGAAACCCTAGCAGTACTTAATAATATGAGCTAATGGTCTGATTCCCTCATGCAGTTGGTATAATCCTCTGTTCCTATGCCTACAAACTGCCTTGCCAGCTTCCACTGCTTCTGCCCACTGTCCCATCCCATAAACACTAACAAGCTACTGGGGAAATAAGCAGAAGTCTCCAAACTTCTAAAAAGTAATTTGTATGGCAGACAGTGTGTTGCTTTCAAGCACACAGGGGTGGGTGGATCTGTCAATTTAAGGTTTTCTCCATTTCTCATTTTTCCAATCTTACATCCAGTTCTCCACATTTCCATATCCAGTTTGCATTTTAAAAAAAAGTTATCATGAACATCCATCAGCATTTTAAGTGCACATTTCTTCCAAAATACAGATTTTTTGCAAAGCAATTTCCCCTAATATAATGCATTTTTGTGTGTTATTTTCATATTTTCAGCCCTGTACAGTGAGGTTTTTAATGTTTGAGGGGAGTTTTGTGTTTTAATACTTTGTTGGAAGCTACCCAGAATGGCTGGGGCAACCCAGTCAGATGGGTGGCATATTATTATTATTATTATTATTATTATTATTATTATTATTATTACTGCTGCTGCTGCTGCTGCTGCTGCTACTACTGCTACTATAATATGTGCATTACTTGGGCATTGCAAAATTCAGAGAAATCCACATTTTGAAGGATGGCTGTGTTTCGGTTTGCATATCGCTTCCGAATTAGGTAGTTCTGCCTTTAAAAGCGAAACAAATCAGATTTCTCCCCCAACCCTGCAAGCGTGCAATACTACTTTGAGATTTGTCTGCCTACACTGGCTTAAATTTTTACTGCAAATGTGGAGGCTTGGGGTGCAGGAGAAGGGGGGGACCCTTCCTTTAATGCATTATTTACATTGTCTGAAAGAATGACTTAATGCCAGTTAATTTAAAAATGATATGTTCAGTGAAAGATCTCATTAAGTGCTGGAAATTGTCATCCTTCAAACTGTTAATGATGATATAAATTAATAACCGCTTGAGAGAAAATGGAAACTGAAACACACACACACACACACAAAGAGAGGGGGGTGGAACCTTCGCTTGCATATAAAACCTGTCAGCTGTCATTATTGGTCTCACACCAGAAATGATGAGGTAACACACAGCTACAGTCTGCAGGAGTAATACTGACAGAGTCTTAAGAGACTTAAGCAGTCTTTCCTCAGTGCACAGTGAGCAAAGTGAGCACACACACGATCAGAGATTGCAACTTAATTCTGGTTGCGAAAGCTTTCTCTTACATTAGGGATGCATTTACTGACGCTTCGTAGGAAGAGGGGGCATCTGCATAGAGGGGAGGTGTGAAGTTCACCAACACAAAAGGATGGATTGGCCATGGAAGGCGGATGGCTAATGAACATAACCCTATGGCTACATTTGCCGTTACGTTTGGCACTAATGTGGTCTAGTAACAGATGCAATGGTAATTTGCGAGTCATTTGCTACCCCATTACTGCTTAATGAAATCTAACATATCACATTAACAATATGGATAAACACTCATTCCTGATATGTGGCATTTGGCTGTTTTCATTACTGCAGTAATTAACACTTGAAATATTATTTCAATAAATATTTAAGGTGCTTCAGGAATTAATGGTGGGGGGAAGCGTGGGTCACTGCCATCGCGACACAGAAGCAAGTTGCAACAAAAAGGTGACATGTCAATTTCTCATCTTAGATGGTCTTGTAATGCTAATTCCACAATGACTGCTGCATGCATGGCATTATATTCAAAGAAGCAGCACCAGCACGGATTTTCAGATTTGAGATGTCCACACTCAAAATACTGATGTTCACTTAAAAGTAAAAGCTGTGTAATTGAATTTGCTTATAGGGCAGTAATTGCAGAGTTATCCTCATGCTGCAGTGCAAATATTAACACTCAATCTTATTCCACTCCTTCAGTGTAATTAAACCAATGGTATAAGCTTTAAGCATGACATGGAGGAGGCAGCTGGATTAATTTCGAGAAGGGAACATTCCATGTTAAAAAAGAGAGAGAAATAAATCCATAATGCTTCCAGACATGTACAACCAAACTATACAATATTACAGCGTTTTCTCAAAAAATATATTTATCACGTTAGTAATATCTTCTTACAAGCATGTGGGGTGGGGAGCAGTATCTTGTATGCTAGTAAGGATTTATTTAGGTTTTTTAAAAAAGAAGAATTCAAAACATCAAACTGTATCTCATGCCATGATTGCTGAAAGTAATGTATGGATAAGTGGGTAAAATGAATGCAATCTAAATGGGGGGAAACCTCATAGTGAAGTAGTCTTATTCCAAATCACAGGGACTATTCACATTGTAAGAAGTGCCTGAATGGCATGTAATTTGATGGTGGAGAAAGGTACCATTATGTCCAGAACAGTATAATGTTTTTAAGGGGTCATGTTACCAATCACAATTTTAAAAGCTATTAACTTTTCATACATTTCTCTCTTAGATTTCTTTAGGAGAGCTAGGGCTTGGGTGGGGGGGGATAACTCCACCAACCCTCAACAAAAACTGTGTGTGTGGTTAAATGCCATCTGCACTGAAATGTTCAAAACATTTGTTCCTTTTGATAAAAATGCAAATCTGGAGAGCTGTTGTATCAACATATAACAGCCAATGTCTGACACGGTGAATTATCACAGCTGGAATTAAATTGTCTTTGAACAGCTGCTGGCAGTAGAGCTTTCATCAATGTTTGATTCAAATGGAGGAATGAAATTCTACAGAATGAAACATCATGTTGTCATTACAGATGGGGGTTTGTGTTCATTATCACAACTAACACTGGAGCTGGTGCCAAGCAATCTTCCCTTATCTAAGCAGTCTTGTTGGAAGGAGAAAGAGAGACAGAGAAAGAGGCAGAAGGCAGCCATTGTTTTAAAAAGCTGCTCATAAAAATACTATTTGGAATATAACCACAGTTACTGTAGCATTGCCCCCACCAATAATTTTTCCTCCTTATACCCTCACTCCCCATGGGGAGGGGGCACATTCACTGGGCAGAATGCTGTTTTGGACTCAAAATGGTCAACCCACTCCACATTTTATTAATCTCAAGACTTTTTTTGCCCACGGTGTTGACCTCAAGCAGAATTCAGATGCTGCCAACTACTCGCTGTCACCTTCATTCTCTACCATGTGCAATCTCTATATTTCTGTAAATAAGAAAAGGAGAAGGAGGGACAGGCACATCCATGGGGTAATGGCTACATATGCTTTTGTCCTGATTGCAAAGGCATTTGCTTTGGCCAAAAACAGTACAGTCTGGAACTGATGTCACTACCACTGCCCTGACATCCTTTCACTGGCTGTCATGGGGGTGGGTGGAAGAGAGAGGGACAGAGACAGTAAGAAGTACTACAAGAACAAAGTGGTTGGCATCCCTTTCTGCTTACTACCCCGCTCCCACCTCTCGCCCTCCCAGGCTAGAGGCCAAATTCATCACCTCTATGACCTAGTCAGGCCCCATCAATTCAGATCTATGGTTTCTTCTTAAGCCTGCTGTTGAACACTTTCCACTGAAAGACTCTTCCTCATTTCCCCAGGAAACAAATGATGCCACCAACTGTGCTGCTTTCCTTTTGTTTTCGTAATAGTGTTAAGAACCCAAATTAAAAATAAAATGTTTGTATCCATGACCATAATTAGCGCATTAGCTTCTAATGACTGCTACTCTGTTTGCTTTAAAGATGTACACCTACTGTGCCTTTCATTTGTTTCCTTCTGGTTACATTTTTAGGGGGAGGGAGGTGTTCTTTTCCCGTGTGTGTGTCTGTGTGTGTGTGTGTGTAGCAGATTTGCTTCTATTGACATGCTATGTAAGTAACAGTCTAACAGACAAGTAAATTGACTGGTAATGGAGAGCTGTCAGGTTATTTTCTCTCTCATTAAAGTCTGTATTTTGTGCTCCATAAAACACATACCCAAAAATCAGCACTTTGCCCGTCATCCACTGAAAAGTCTGTAAAAATTATCAAAGCAAATGTCAGGGTTTGAGCATTAGGTGGGAAATGGGGGAGAGAGAGAGAAATTCAACGCCTACCTCGTTTGCAGTGAGAAATGCATTGTTGGCCTCGGCCATGTTCATGTAGTTATTGTTGTTGCCGAACTGAAAAAAGAAAAAGAGACGCCTACATTTTACTAACATATGCTACAATGAAAACAGTCAAGTTCTGAATGCATAGAAGACTTTAAACACAAAGGACATTGGGACTTAATCTGCAATACCCTAACAATATCAGACAACCCCCATTCACTCCAAAACATAAATGTTACATGGACAACTGAAATTGCAAGTTGGGTGATTTATAAAATTACATTGCCATACTCTTGGCACTTCTTATATTTCCAAGCAGTACCATGTGTCACTTAGGAGCACTGGAGCTGGGTGTAGAAAACTGGTTCTTAGAATTATTGGCACACAAACATAGTGTTCATTGGACCTCCACAGGAGTTGCCGGGGAGTTATGGTAGCTACATATGCATCACCAAAAGAGAGGAAAGGAAATTATGTAGATATCAATACATTTTCCATGTGCTGATAATGAGTATGGCTCTATATGCCAATTTAAAAATAATTCCTACAACTTAAAGAGAAATACAGTGCATCCCACTATAATGTCAATCTGCCCAGGTGCTAACTGTTGATGGGCCACTTCAGGGCCCCTCCTGCTCTCCCTTCGTGGTGGTTATCTTTAAACCAGACTTTGAATAGGCATCTCTTCAAATAGAGGACACCTCCAAATAGAGGGCTGTCTTCTGTGAAATAGGGCTTATGGTTACCCTACGGAGAGGGAACACTGAGACATAGGAAATTGTATCAATCCAGAGCAGATCGTTGGGTCAATACATAATTGGTTGACACTGGCTCAACAGAGTTTCAGATAGGAATATTTGCCACCACAGATGCATGGTGTCTGTGGCCAGTGCAGGGAAGACTGAGGAAATCTGTACAGGAGATAGTTATTGGGCTGAATCAGGCCACAATTTTATTCATTACAGGTAAGAGTAGGCATTGGACATGTATCCAGCATCAGGCAGCCTGCATGCTGGCTGATAGGAACCCAGTGGGTCAACCCTGTGTGGGGAATCGCACCCCACATGGATCAGGTGCCACAACCCCCCACAGGCCTGCCATTGGGAGAAGTGTTTTGGTCCATTGGTCCCCATGTGGACTCCTGGACAGAGTCACCCATTCCCACACCACTTTAATGGGATACCCACATGACTAAACATCCAGCCCAATGCGTTATCCACTAAAGTTGTGACAGTTGCTAAGAGGAAGGTGAAAACCTGCAAGCCAGCCAATTCCTCTCTGGCCCCAAATATGGTGACCAATTAACCACAGAAAGGTCCTTACACCAACTTGCCCGCTCCCCCACTGAGCGGGCCCCAGTTGGGTGGGAGGTAAATCCCAAATTGAATAGCCAAGAGGGTGGGCTGCTTCATGTTGCTCTTCTAAATACACCAGGGATGGACAGATCACAGCCCTCATGCCCACCCACCAAGCCCAAGTGAGTGGATATTCTCAACCCTATTGGAAGAAGAGGCAGACTGAAAACTCGGGGCTTCCAGCATAACTCTTCCTCTGAGCTACAGTCCCGTGTCCATGGGCAGAGCCTAAGCAAATTATTGTGAAAGCTATTCCTAGGGCCAGGCCACAAATACTGTGGCCTGTCTTTCTTTTGAAATGAAATTTGAAAATTTTGTCAACCTTTCATTGGCAGTACATAAGAACTTCCTTGCCAAAGTTAATCTAGTCCATTGTGCAGCCCAATAATAATAATGGTGGCTGAGATATTTTCATTCCATACTTCTGCAGTCACGTTCGGAGTGGGGTACAAAAACAGAGCTAAATACCTATATCCCATAATACAAAAAGTCCATACATACAATACAACAATAATGCAAGTTAAAAGAAACAATTCCACTCCATGTAAATAAAACAGCATGGAAAAAGAGGCAGCAATATGATCAGTCAATCAACCTTTCTGAAACAAATGGGGTTTCAATTTCTGTCTTAAGCTACATGAAACTCACTTGGAAAGGCATTCCAGAACCACAGTGCCACGACTGAGAAGACCCTGTCTCTTGTTCTAATATGCCAAATCCCACAAAATGGCAGAAAGGACCTCTGAAGCTGATTTTAGGGCTTGGGCAGGCAGTTATAGGAGTGAGGTGGTAACTGCAACTGACAGACCCACATACTACCTTTTCTGGCTAACTCTTTCAAGACACTGTTTGCCTGCTGATAGAGATGGTAGAAGAGATGTTTGTTATGTCATTCATTAGCTGGGCTGAGCCAGTTTGGCACAGTGGTCAAAGTGCCTAAGCACAGGCCTCTCCCAACCGTAGTCAATACTCTAACGATGACCACTTCCATCTTTTGGAAGACTTACCAGCTAAGAAACAACAACATACTAACATGCAATCTCCAGTCAGCCATGCCACTCACTTACTTTTGGAAGACAGTGTGGTAAAGTGGTTAGAGTATCAGAGCAGGGTTTGGGAGACTTAGGCTCAAATTGCTGCTAAGCCATGAAGCTCACTGGGCAATCCTGGACACACACACCCTCTCTCAACCTGACCTACCTCATATGGGTGTGAGGATAACATAGTTGGAGAGAAAACCATATATGCTACCCTGAGTTCCTTCAATGATAAAAATGTACTAAACTATCAGACAAAACTCCTTAGAAAAACTTCTGTATCACTTGAAACCACGTGACACATTCGTGTACTTCACCATGTGATTATTCAACAGATATGAATTCACTGAAAGGTGGTATTTGGAATGATACACAAATTTTGCCTCCAAGTCTCTTGGGTGCTAAGATCAGCAGAGGGGAGCCCCTTGATAGTTCCTCCACCACCAGAGGTTTGAGGAGTGGTGGCCTATGAGAAGGCATTCTCTGAGGCAGTCCCTAAGTTGTGGTACTCCCTCCTCACAGATGTGTGCATGTCACCTTCGTTACACAGCTTCTAGCGAATGCTGAAGATTAACATTTTTACCCTTGCTTTTGACACTGGATGTGAATTATTTTTTAGGATCCACATTATTTTTGTGCTTGCCAGCTATTTTAAAGTTTTTTAATATTGTGCTTTACTGTTTTAACCTGCCCAGGGACTTTAGGGTGAAGGGTGGGTAATTAATTATAATTATAATTTGGGCATGCAAGCCATTCCTTGATTCTGTAACCAGTGACAAATTGACAAAAATGCAGACTGATTCTTTGAAAACTAGGGATCAAGTGCCCTGGATTATCACTTTCCTTTCTGTGGAGGGGCCATATATCTCTTAGAGGTAGCTACAGGCAGAGTTGCCTCTATACTCTAGAAGTGCCTCTTCTTCTACTCCTGCCCTCTCTATCCTGACAAATGTAATCACTGCAAATCATGAAAAGTCTTCCTTCCATAGCTCATAGGACTGAATGATAGGAGAGGAGAAACACACTCTGCCTCATTTGAGAAATGAATTGCGCAGGAAAGCTCAAGTTACCAGTTAGGAGCCAAATTGCAAGGTATAAAAATCTTGGACATATATGGATGTATCCTTATATTTGTTCCAAAAGCCATATTGGCATTTCACAAGCTTTGATTTTCAGGAATAGAACCCACTAGTAGGTGATTCTCTCGCCAGCTAGAACAATAAGCCAGGAAGTTTCAAGCAAAGCCAAATAAACTGTCGTTCCAATTTCACAAGAAGACGGATAAGTTTTATCAATTGTTGACAGAGGCTTTAAAAATATGTTTAATATTAATATTTTAGGAATCATTAAAATAACTTGTTGATTGTTATCACTAGATGAAGAACTGCTCTTTTATACCAACTGAGATTGGTGGTCCATCTTGCTAAGTGCGTTTACAAAGACGGGTGTCAGCAATTCAGAAGTTCAGACAGTCTTCCACGGCCCTGCCTGGAGATGCTGGGGATGGAACCCAGGCAAGCTTTCATCATCCAGTAGTCAAAAGACTACATCAGGAGTCCTTCCTCTCTCGGTTGTGTGACTCAAAACATATGCTTTGCTTTGGTTAATCTTGTTTAACAAATTTAGCCAGAGGGCAACCATGTTAAGATGTTTTTCAAACACTTTTTCCCCCCTGCAACAACAACAACAAAATCTCCCAACGGAATTTGCAAGCAGCTGCTTACTCCTTCACAGACTCTTCTAAGTCGTGAACAGTGAAGATGATTCACAGGACTACATACAACGTTATTGGAAAGTGCTGTGCATGTTAGCTCATTATCACTGCCCTACAACCACACAATATACTGGAGGATAGTGCATGCTGCAGCAGGGTATCTTTTTCAGATCCAGGGCTGCATTTCCATCTGTGCCACCTTCCAAGTGATGGGTGGAGAAACAAATGCAAATTTGACCTCTCTACAGTGTTATGTATGCCAGGGAGGACATTAGGTTTGGGGCCTCTTGAGTGCCTGTAGTTTGCATGCCTGTATGCAGCAATTTCAAACAGACACCAGAAGATCAATTGTTACGTGAATTGCTCTTGAGATCTTAGATAGTGTCTACCTGGAAGCACTGGAAATCTCCTGACATATGTTTCAGGTATTTTTTTGTGTTTGTTTTTTTAAAAAATACATGTTAAGTACAGTCAGGAGAAAGCTGCAAGGCAGCACATACTTCTCTGTGTTACACAAGGCAGAATCATAATCCTTTTTGGTATCACAAAGTGCTTTCCCCAGGAAGACTTTTCTGTCATGGAAAAGCCCAAACCCAACACTTGCAAAGCCTTTAAAACTGGATAGGCTGATCTCAAATTCCCTTGTATATCCACTGCAAAATGACATCAGGCTTGCAGTAGGTGTAGTATTCGCAAGATTACAAATGATCCAGAGACTGGATTAGAAGAAACAAACTTTACTGAGCAGCATGCTGTTACCAAACTATATACAAAATCACAACTAGTCAGATCTTGGCATCCTCTCCCTGCTGGTCTCATCCAGAACTGATTTCCCTCCAATATAACCATTAGTACCTGCTCACATTATACTGGGAGTGATAATTTGTATGAACTCACCCAAAACACCTTCCACCACGATGCCAAAGCAGCAAAACACTGAAAATATCAGTTCTCCTAAACTCTGGA